ATAAACAAATACGATATTGGTCACGAAGTGATGAAATAATAATGTCTTGGCTGGGCACAGTAGCTCGTACCTGTAATCCCAGCACTTTGGGAGGCCGAGGCAAGAGAATCATATGAGGCCAGGAGCTCAAGACCAGCCTGAGCAAGATAGCAAGACATTGCCTCCACAAAAAAAATTTTTTTTTATTTTTAAATTATTTTTTATTTTTGGAGACAGAGTTTAGCTCTTGTTACCCAGGCTGGAGTGTAATGGTGTGATCTCGGCTCTCTACAGCCTTCGCCTCCTGGTTTCAAGCGATTCTCCTGCCTCAGCCTCTCAAGTAGCTGGGATTACAGGTGCATACCACCACACTTGGCTAATTTTGTATTTTTAGTAGAGATGGGGTTTCTCCATTTTGGTCAGGGTGGTCTCAAACTCCCGACCTCAGGTGATCCACCCGCCTCAGCCTCTCAACGTGCTGGAATTACAGGTGTGAGTCACTGTCTGGCCAAAAAATATATATATTTTAATATAATAGATTTGAACTACTCCAGGCTGGGCGTGGTGGCTCACACCTGTGATCTCAGCACTTTGGGAGGCCAAGGCAGGTGGATTACCTGAGGTCAGGAGTTCGAGATCAGCCTGGTAAAAATGGTGAAACACTGTTTCTACTAAAAACGCAAAAATTAGTCAGGTGTGATGGTGCACATTTGTAATCCCAGCTACTCAGGAGGCTGAGACAGTAGAATCCCTTGAATCCGGGAAGCAAAGGTTGCAGTGAGCCAAAATTGTGCCACTGCACTAAAGCCTGGGCACAGAGCGAGACTCCATCTTAAAAAAAAAAAAAAAAAAAAAGGCCAGGTGCGGTGGCTCACATCTAATCTATAATCCCAGCACTTTGGGAAGCCAATGCAGGAGGACCACCTGAGGTTAGGAGTTGGAGACCAGCCTGGCCAACGTGACAAAACCCGGTCTCTACTAAAAGCACAAAAATTAGCCAGGCCTGGTGGCAGGCACCTGTAGTCCCAGCTACTCAGGAGCCTGAGGCAGGAGAATAAAATGTGTCAAAAAAGCAAAACAAAAACAATCTAGTCAAAAGTAGCTGGGGTGATGTTTTTGGTCAGTGAGTTCCCTTACCCTTCGGCTTGGGGTCGGGTTTGGCCAATGTGGAGCACCAGTGGGCAACTGTAGGGAGAACAGACCGTGAGGTTAGGGGGTGTACTCCCTTGCTCTCTTCCTGTGAGCTGGGTGTGTCCCCTGACAGAAAGTCATTATTCCTATCTTGGTGACCCTCTTGGTTAGAGTGTGTATTCCCTTGCTGTCTTCTCTTACCTTTGGCTGGGTTACTCTTATTTTGGTGACCCTCTTCATGCAAATCTTTCTTTCCAGGTCTGGTAATTGCACTGTCTCCACACATCTTCACGTCCAGGAACGGTTTCTCTGCATCCTATCCACACCTTTGTGAACACCCCCTTTCTTAAACTCTCCTCAAGTCATCTCATTTGAGTAGGCCATTTGTTTCCAACTGGGACCCTGCCCAGGGCGATTGTTCTAGCTCCAAACAGTCTCTCTGATCTCCAGATCTCTCCTTTTGCACCAAGGAAGTAGGATGGGTGAGCAGTGTTCTCAGTTCATGTGTAGTTCTCACTTCTCAGATAGCTAACTGTACACATTTCTTGTTATACTGGACCGAGCATAGAAAGTCAACACCAAGACAAAAGTATGCCAAATTGCAGGGTTTATTGCCAGCGACCATGGAGGACTCACGTCTCTCCAACCTGTGACAGAGAAAGAAGGGTGACAAGACCTTTTTATACCCATAAAACTACCTTGGGAGTGGGGGTGAGGAGCTTCAGACATTCGAGGGCTAGTGGATTCTGCAAATCACCTTCTGGGCGGAGATGAGGGTGAGGGGCGGGGATGGGATGGGGGTTTCCGGACATTCCAAGGGCCAGGGGACTATTTGACATTCTGATTGTTTCTTAAGTGGTTCACAAAAGCTTAGCATTCTTCTACACATTGTCTGGATAGGGTGGGGATCATAGTCCTTAATTACTTATTCACATTTGGGTTATAGAGAGCAGTTTCAACAGAAAACTGAGGTGTGGTTGAGGTATGCAGTTTTATGGGGCTTTTTACCATGTCACATTCTCATTCTTTTTTTTTTTGAGACTGAGTTTCACTCTTGTTACCCAGGCTGGAGTGCAATGGCGCAATCTCAGCTCACCACAACCTCCGCCTCCTGGGTTCAAGCAATTCTCCTACCTCAACCTTCCGAGTAGCTGGGATTATAGGCACGCGCCACCATGCCCAGCTAATTTTTGTATTTTTAGTAGAGACGGGGTTTCACCATGTTGACCAGGATAGTCTCGATCTCTTGACCTTGTGATTCACCCGCCTCGACCTCCCAAAGTGCTGGGATTATAGGCGTGAGCCACCGCACCCGGCTCACATTTCTCACTCTTACATGGGGTAGTTCAGGCATTTTCAAAACCTCTACAAACACTCACATTAAAGATCCTCCCGGGTATAGAGTAAGTTCAATCAGACCATTACAGTTAATATTGTGGCGCCTAATTTCTAAGGAGTGGAAAAAATAAAAACCTTAAAAACATGTCTGTTCTTTAAATATATATAATTTTATTTAATTAATCAACTTATTTTTGTTGTGGAGACAGAGTTTCACTCTGTCACCCAGGCTGGAGTGCAGTGGTACGATCTTGGCTCACTCCAGCCTTCACCTCCCGAGTTCAAGCAATTCCCTTGCCTCGGCCTCCAGAGTAGCCAGGACTACAGGTGTGCGCCACCACACCTGGATAATTTTTGTATTTTTTTAGTAGAGACGGGGTTTCACCATAGGCAGGTCTCGAACTCTGGACTCAAGTGATCCACACTCCTTGGCCTCTCAAAGTGCTGGGATTACAGGTGTGAGCCACCATGCCCAGCCAATATATTTTTTATTTTAATAGCTTTTGAGGTACAAGTGATTTTTAGCTACCTGTGTGAATTATACAGTGGTGAAATCTGAGATTTTAGTGTGCTCGTCACCCGAGTGGTGTACAGTGTACCCAATATGTAGTTTTTTATCTCTCACCTCCCTCAAAAACATGCGTGTTCTGACCCAGCACCTCCTTTTTCAGCAATTTAACCTAAGGAAAGACTCAGTGGAGAAATGCAAAGACTTTAGCTACAGTGATGTTCACTGCAGCATTGCTTTAAATATAAAGCTGGAACCAACCCTAATGTCAAGCCTCTGTAGACTGATTAAATAACTATGTTGTATCAACCATGGTGTTAACTATGGTGTAACAAATAACTATGGTATATTCAATAAATATGGTGTAAAAAATACATAGTGGAATATAATAGAATGCTGTGTAGACATGAAAGAATGTTACAGAAGAATACGAACAGATGAACATGTATTTTAAAACATTTTGCCTCATCTTGTTTTCCCCTTTTTTGCAAGGTAACTTTAAATTTGGGGATAATTTTAGATTTATAGAAAAGTTGCAAAGATAGTGCAGAATTCCCTTATATCCTTGACCCAGTTTCCGTTAATGTTACATCCTACATAACCATAATACACTTACCAGAATGAATACAATGTTATTGACTAAGCTACTTTATTCCGATGTCACCAGTTGTTCCGGGAATATACTTTTTCTGTTCCAGGACCCAGTCCAGAATACCACATTATATTTAGCCAAAATATATTTTGCGGGGAAAAAATTGTAAGGAAGACTGCAAAAATATGCATCCAAATGTTAACAGAAATGTACCAATTAAGGCTTTTTAGTTGTAAGCATCCGAAACTGACTTCGGCAACCCTGTGAAACAGGAATTTGTTAGAAGGATGTGGTACATCTCATTGAATTCAAGGACAAAGTAAACGACCAGCTCTCGGAAAGGACAGAAGCAAGGCTGCTCTATGTTCAAGACAGCGGGGACGGTCTGCTTTTTTCTGAATAGGGAGCCATCGCTAGGGTGATGCTTTTGGTCATTAGATCACTCTGCTTAAGGTCTAAACTCGGCCGGTTGTGGTGGCTCATGCTTGTAATCTCAGCACTTTGGAAGGCCAACGTGGGTGCATCACAAGGTCAAGAGATAGAGACCATCCTGGCCAACATGGTGAAACCCAGTCTCTACTAAAAATACAAAATTAGCTGGGTGTGGTGGTGTGCACCTGTAATCCCAGCTGCTCCTGTAATCCCAGCTGCTCGGGAGTTTGAGGCAGGAGAATTGCTTGAACTCGGGAGGCAGATGTTGCAGTGAGCCAAGATTGTGCCACTGCACTCCAGCCTGGTGACAGAGTGAGACTTAGTCTCAAAAAAAACAAAACAAACAAACAAAATAAACAAAAAAAAACTAAACTCTAGAGAGTGTGAATCTGTTGGACCAAGCTTGGGTCACCCAGCCAGCCTTTGGCCAGGGACACTGGGACACCTTGACCAATGCTTCCTCTGCCTTGCAATGGCGATGGAGAAAAAGTCCCTAGAGAAAAATAGAAATTCTATACCCCAAAATACAAGGCATAACTATTGATAAAGCAAAAGAAGATATATCTGGAATAAGTGACTTTCTCTAAAGTTATAGGAGAACAACTTTTTTTCTCTGAGTTTTCCAAATGTTACACATAAACATGTACATCTTTAATAGCAATACAAAGCTGTTTTTAAGATTCTAGTGCCTAAAGTTAACAAATTAAGTAAGCAGATTTTAGAATCGACAGACTTACTTTTTATCTGCATGTTCAAGACAGTGGCACTGGGAATGGACAGGAAGGGATAGAGAGCAGAGATGCTTTCAAGGAAGAATCCAAGAGAACTTGGCCCTGACTAGTTACAGGAGACGGAGGAGAAGGGCAAATTCGAGTTGATTCCAGACTCCTGAGCCACAGTGACAGGGAAAATGGTGGTCCATTGTCAAAAACACTGAAGTGACGGGTACAGTGAGCTGTCTGGGTAAGGATGGTGGCAAGTTCTAGCATTTGGCTTTCATTTTCCTCATCTGACCTCCAGGGCTGATGATGAATCTTCAGAGCCTGTGAACACCAATGTGGTCCTGCGGTATGATGGACTGATAACCTGGGATGCACCAGCCATTACCAAAAGCTCCTGTGTGGTGGATGTCACCTACTTCCCTTTTGACAACCAGCAGTGCAACCTGACTTTTGGTTCCTGGACCTACAATGGCAATCAGGTGGACATATTCAATGCCCTGGACAGCGGCGATCTCTCTGACTTCATTGAAGATGTGGAATGGGAGGTCCATGGCATGCCTGCTGTGAAGAACGTGATCTCCTATGGCTGCTGCTCTGAGCCTTATCCGGATGTCACATTCACCCTCCTTCTGAAGAGGAGGTCCTCGTTCTATATCGTCAACCTCCTCATACCATGTGTCCTCATATCTTTTCTGGCTCCTTTGAGTTTTTATCTCCCAGCAGCCTCTGGAGAAAAGGTCTCCCTGGGAGTGACCATCCTGTTGGCCATGACTGTATTTCAGCTAATGGTGGCAGAAATTATGCCAGCCTCAGAAAATGTCCCTCTGATAGGTGAGTTCAAGTGTTTTCCACTAGGAGCCCAGCTTTGTAGTGCCTGGGGTCATGTCTTTAAGGTTGTGTGTGTGCCTTTAAACTTGAAACAATGGAGCCAATTTCAGACTCAATCCAGACTGTCTCAAACGTCTCTGGTGGTTACAGCTGGCATCTTTCAATATAGATAAGGCTGTTGGAATCAAAACTGGTTTTACAGTCGCTGGGTTTACACAAAAGAGCAATGAAAGGCGTTATACTTCAGAGCAGTGGTTCTCAAAGTGATGGTCCCCAGATGCACAGCATCAGTATCACCTGGGAACGTTTTTTTAATTAATCTGACAGATACAGACTCTGATGTTTTTTTGTTTATGTTTTTGTTTTTGTTTTTTTTGAGACAGAGTCTTGCTCTGTCGCTCAGGCTGGAGCGCAATGGCATGATCTTGCCTCACTGCAACCTCTGCCTCCTGGGTTCAAGCAATTCCCTGCCTCAGCCTCCTGAGTAGCTGGGACTACAGGCACGCACCACCATGCTCTGCTAATTTTTGTATTTTTAGTAGAGACAGGGTTTCACCATCTTGGCCAGGCTAAGCCATGACCTCGTGATCCACCCCCACCTCGGCCTCCCGACGTGGTGGGATTACAGGCATGAACCTTTTTTTTTTTTTTTTTTTTTGAGACGGAGTTTTGCTCTTGTTACCCAGGCTGGAGTGCAATGACGCGATCTCAGCTCACCGCAACCTCCGCCTCCTGGGTTCAGGCAATTCTCCTGCCTCAGCCTCCTGAGTAGCTGGGATTACAGGCACGCACCACCGTGCCCAGCTAATTTTTTTGTATTTTTAGTAGAGACAGGGAGGCATGAACCTTTAATCCCACCCAGGTGGTGGGTGCCTGGCCCACCTGGGAACTTTTAGAAACCCAAAATCTCAGGGCCACCCTAAGCCTACTGAATTAGACATTCTGGAGATAAGGCTCTGGCATCCTGTTTTAACAAGTCTTCTGGGTGATTCTGACGCATTTTCTGTTTAAGTCTGAAGTCCACTGACCCAGAGGTTAAGACCTGATTTTGAAATCAAAGAAACCTGCATTTCTTTGCTGCCATGCTGACTTCACTTCTTGATCAAACTTAGACAGGCTACTTGTTCTCTTCGTCTCTGCTTCATCATCTGCAAAATTTGTGTGATTGCTTCCTTCTGTGTCATTGCTTACTGCACACCCTGGCATATGGTAAGTACTGAGTAAACAGTGACTATTGTTATCATTTCACATGACAAGGGTTTTTTCTAGGGAAGAGTGGCAAACATGGCAGAAAGATGTGCTTTTGAAGCCTGATCTCTACCCTTACTAGAAAAATCTCAACTTCAATGGGTATAATAGGAGTGGGAGATAGCTTTTAAAATGCATGTTCCTATACCCAGAGAGTTTGATTTAGCAACTCAGCCAAGATTAGGGAATCTGAGGTGGTTTCAAGGCAGACCACATTTTCAAAAATCAGCAATAATGAAATGTCCCTCCAAGGGTTGGCGTGCAGACTGATGGTACTGCCCCTGCCTCCCCTATCGTTACCTAGCTTGTTCTGAGGGCTCTCCTATCCCCTTTAACACATACTTCTGGCTGGGCACAGTGGTGCACACCTGTAATCCCAGCACTTTGAGAGGCCGAGGTGGGTGGATTACCTGAGGTCGGGAATTCAAGACCAGCCTGACCAACATGGAGAAACCCCATCTCTACTAAAAATACAAAACTAGCCGGGTGTGGTGGCACACACCTGTAATCCCAGCTGCTCGGGAGGCTGAGGCAGGAGAAGTGCTTGAACCAAGGAGGCGGAGGTTGTGGTGAGCCAAGATTGCACCACTGCACTCCAGCCTGGACAACAAGAGGGAAACTCCGTCTCAAAAAAACAAAAGAAAGCAAAACAAAAACACATACTTCCTGTTTTCAAGGATACTCTTGAGATCCAACACCGCCATCTCAAGGACTTGCTGTTGTAACAGATGCTCACCAGAATCAAGCTAGATCTAAGTTTGAGTTCCTTAAAGTAAGCAATAAGGAGACATTTTAGAACACCAAGGAACTTAGAGTCTAATATCAAAGGACGTTGCCTTGCCCTTTTACTCTTTACTAAGTCCAGTTACCCAATATTCAGACGATGCTACAGTGGCTTCTCCATTTGGAGATTTCTTCCTTTTTATGTCTCTCCTTGCCAAATACACACACACACACACACACACACACACACACAGACACACACACTCCTCTTTTTCAGAATTAGACACAGAAGACTTTTCCCCCTCTAATAACAAGAAAAAGACGTATTGGGATTTTATTAGCTCTCCTGAGGCAGAAATGATGGGCAGGGATGACATCCAATCACAGCTTGTTTGAGGAAAGCTCATTGGCTGGTCCCACTTTCTTCTTGGGCGGTAACATTATACAGCAAGCTGGCACAATTTCTAAAGAGACATGTCTCACAGGAATTGCTTGTTCTGTTTCTATAGTAATATGAAATTTATCTTTTAAAAATTAGATTAAATTTGTATTTTTAACTTTTATTTAAATTTATATTTATTATTTTAAAATGAAGACCAGGCATGATAGCTCATGCCTGTAATCCCAGCACTTTGGGAGGCCGAGGCAGGCAGATCACCTGAGGTCAGGAGTTTGAGCCTAGCCGGGCCAACACAGTGAGACCCTGTGCATGCCTGTAATCTCAGCTACTCAGGAGGCTGAGGCAGGAGATTCACTTGAACCCAGGAGGTGAAGATTGCAGTGAGCCAAGATCACACCACTGCACTCCAATCTGGGCAACAGAGTGAGACTTCATCTCAAAAAAAAAAAAATTGAAAAAAATGAGAAAAGACAGTGTCTCACTATGTTGGCTAGGCTGGTCTTGAACTCCTGGGCTCAAATAATCCTCCCACCTCGGCCTCCCAAAGTGCTGGGATGACAGGTGTGAGCCACCACTACTAGCTGAAATTTATCTTTTTAGGAAAGGTGCACACAGGTTTTGAGAACATTTATCTACCAATTAGAATTTGTTATTCACAGCACCTATGGAGTGTGCTCACAAGATTATAGAAATATGCTTAACTTTTCTGCATCAAATGTAGCCTTTGATATAGGTTTCTGGCCCATAGCCTTCACCATATTAAGAAAGGTCTCATATTTTTAGTTAACTCAGAGTTTCTGAAAAATAATAAATAGATGATAAACATTGTCAAATACTTTGTCTTCATCTGTTAAGATAATCATGTGAGTTTTCTCTTTTACTCATCAATGTCATGAATCACATCAATAAGTTTTCTGATGTTGAATTTTTTTGTACAACTCGACCAAACTCCTTTCTCATGATACATTATCCTTGAAGACACTGTTGGATTTAGTTAGCTTGTATTTTGTAGAACTTTCTCAAATATGCCTATTAGTGAAATGGCTTTAATATCTCTTTTTTGGAACCAAGGACAAATTGACTTCACAAAATGAACTGGGCAGTTTTCCCTCTTTTTCTATTTCTGGAAAAAGTTGCATAAGATGGGAATTATTTGTTCCTTGAGTGTTTGATAAGGCTCACCTATAGATTCTTCTTGGGCCTACACCCTTTGGTAGGGGGTTGGTATTTGATTGATTCCCATTTCTATTAAAATGTTCTTTATTCTTGCACTAATTTTGACATCTTATGTTTTTCCCAGCAGTTTCATCTAGATTATGAAATATGTTATTATACAGCTATTTTTATTATTTTTATTTTTTGAGACATAGTCTAGTTCTGTTGCCCAGGCTGGAGTGCAGTGGCGTGATCTCGGCTCACTGCAACCTCTGCTTCCTGAATTCAAGTGATTCTCCTGCCTCAGCCTCCCGAGTAGCTGGGATTACAGGCATGCACCCCAACACCTGGCTAATTTTTTTTTAATATATATATTTTTATAGAGATGAGGTTTCACAATCTTGGCCAAGTTGGTCTTGAACTCCTGACCTCGTGATCTACCCATCTCGGCCACCCAAAGTTCTGGGATTACATGAGTGAGCCACCATGCCCAGCTATACTTTTTGTATTTTTAGTAGAGATGGGGTTTCACCATGTTGGCTAGGCTGCTCTCAAACTCCAGACCTCAAGTGATCCACCAGCCTTGGCCTCCCAAAGGTGTGAGCCACTGTGCCCGGCTATACTGTTGTTTATACTATTGTACTATTTTATAAGTCTTTTGCATCTTCTCTCTCTTTCTTTCCCTTTATTTCTCTCTCTCTATCCTGTGAGTGGTCTTATCAAAGGTTTATTAATTTTATTACTTTTTTCAAAAGTTTGCTTTTTTTTGTTCATCTTCTTGGCTTTTGTTTATATTTCATAAATGTGTAGCCTTATCTTAACTGTTTCCTTCCTTAATTTCACTTTTTCATCAACATTTGTTTTATATAATCACATTTTGAAGACTAATAGTGACACAGTCTCCTTTCTTACCCAGTAGCAATTGGCTTCCATATTAATGAGGTCTGAAGACCATTCTGAGAACAGGTCAAGTTCATTAATTGTTTATTTATTGAATGCAGAAAAAAATTTTACCTCACGATCTCAGCAAACATTTCCAGACTTTTTAATTTCAAACCAGGAACAGTGCTGAGAACTTCACATTAAGCCTCCTCATATTCCTGAGAGTTAGATATTATTATTATACCCACTTTACAGAGCAGGAAATCAAGGCTTAGTAGGACTACATGCCTTGCTACAGATTGCAAGTCTAGGGAGTGACAAAGCTGGGATTCCAACCCAGGAAGTCAGATTCAAAAGTCTATACTATGGCCGGGCGCAGTGGCTCACATCTGTAATCCGCATTTTGGGAGGCCGAGGTGGGCAGATCGCTCAAAGTCAGGAGATTGAGACCAGCCTGGCCAAGATAGTGAAACCCCCTTCTCTACTAAAAATACAAAAATTAGCCAGGCATGGTGGCAGGCGCCTGTAATCCCAGCTACTTGGGAGGCTGAGGTGGGAGAATTGCTTGAACACAGGGGCTGGAGGTTGCAGTGAGCTGAGATTGCGACACTGTACTCCAGCCTGGGTGACAGAGCAAGATTCCATCTCAAAAAAAAAAAAAAAGAAATCTATCCTAGTAACCACCACCAGGGTATAACACCTCCTTTAAAAAGGTGTTCATTTGTTTCTTTTTTTTTTCTCACTTTCTGCATCCTGAGATAATGGTGTTTGTTTCTTTTTAAGACAAATACAGTCTTGTGCTGCATAACAATGCTTTGGTAAATGACTGTGTATACAACAATGGTCCCATAGGATTATAATGTCAATTTTTTTTTTTTTTTTGAGATGGAATTTTGCTCTTGTTGCTTAGGCTGGAGTACAGTGGCGCGATCCTGGCTCACCGCAACCTCTGCCTCCTAGGTTCCAGCAATTGTCCTGCTTCAGCTTCCTGAGTAGCTGGGATTAGAAGCCTGTACCACCATGCCTGGCTAATTTTGTATTTTTAGTAGAGATGGGGGTTTCTCCATGTTGGTCAGGCTGGCCTCAAACTCCTGACCTCAGGTGATCCGCTCGCCTCATCCTCCCAAAGTGCTGGGATTACAGACTTAAGCCACGGCCCATATATGCCAGGCCCATAATTTCAATTTTTACTTTATCTTTTCTATGTGTAGACATGCTTAGATACACAACTATGTGTACAATTGCCTGTGGTATTCAATACAGTAACATGCTGTACAGGTTTGTGGCCTGGAAGCAACAGGCTGTACCACACAGCCTAGGTATGTAGAAGGCTGTGCCATCCAGGTTTGTGTACATACACTCTGTGATGTTCACACAGCAACAAAATCACTGAATGACTAATACATTGCTCAGAATGTATCCCTGGTGTTAAGTGACTCATGCCTGTATGAGGACAGTTTTAAAGCAAATTCAGTTATTGCTGTTATTTTAATTCCAGGTAAATACTACATAGCCACGATGGCCCTGATCACAGCTTCCACCGCCTTGACCATCATGGTGATGAATATCCACTTCTGCGGGGCTGAGGCCCGGCCAGTGCCACGCTGGGCCAGGGTGGTCATCCTGAAATACATGTCCAGGGTCCTGTTTGTCTATGACGTGGGTGAAAGCTGCCTCAGCCCGCACCGCAGTAGAGAGCAGGACCACCTCACGAAAGTTTACAGCAAACTCCCAGAGTCTAACCTGAAAACAGCCAGGAACAAAGACCTTTCCAGAAAGAAGGATATGAAAAAACGCTTAAAGAATGACCTGGGCTGCCAGGGAGAGAATCCTCAGGAGGCCGAGAGTTACTGCGCACAGTACAAAGTGCTGACGAGGAATATTGAGTACATCGCCAAGTGCCTCAAAGACCACAAGGCCACCAATTCCAAGGGGAGCGAATGGAAAAAGGTGGCGAAAGTCATAGACCGATTCTTCATGTGGATTTTTTTCATCATGGTGTTTGTGATGACTATCTTGATCATAGCAAGAGCGGATTAGTCACAGGGATTGGCTTTGCTACCTGGGGAGAAATTAACACAATTCCCTGCGGTCTATTCCAGTGTTCTTCCAAGGCTTTTGTTCGTCTATAATTTAGGGGTTGTCTGTGCTTTTTATTATTAACTTCAAATCAATGTTGAAGCTACCTTCCCTGTTAAATGAAGCAGGAGATCCAAAATTTCAAGGGTAGGGAGATGGAAGAAATAAGGAAAGACTCCTTTTATAGCCCACCAGAGTGGTGGGTGACTGGCCTCTAGTTTACACAATTATTCATTTCTTTAGTAGTACAGATAACAAAATACACTTTACTGTTAAAATTTAAAACAAAAGGCCGGCATGGTGGTACATGCCTGTAATCCCAGCACTTTGGGAGGCTGAGATGGGAGGATCACAAGGTCAGGAGTTCAAGACCAGCCTGACCAACATGGTGAAACTCCATTTCTACTAAAAATATAAAAATTAGCTGGGCGTGGTGGCACACGCCTGTAATCCCAACTACTCAGGAGGCTGAAGCAGGAGAATTGCTTGAACCTGGGAGGCGGAGGTTGCAGTGAGCTGAGATTGCACCACTGCACTACAGCCTGGGTGTCTCAAAAAAAAAACACACAAAAAAAACTTAAAACAAAAAAGGCAAAGCAAACCAAATTTATTTTCTCCTTAGTTCCTATTAAAACATACTTTTGAAAAATGAAATAGTCACATATATGTTAGTGTGATTTAAGTCTCAGTTTAAGTCTTTTTCAGGCATAGTGCATTTGAAGTCGAATCTCAAAGAGTGGAATAAAAGGCTTCGTCCCAGTGAAGAAAGTCTAAGCGCTAGCCGTTTAATGGGGAAAAGAGCTTTCTGCATAATGCTGATGTCCTATATGTTGGTTACGTTTTACGTAAATCCAAATGATGAGGTCATTCCCGCATTTACCCTTTGATTAAAATGAGATAGATGAAGCTGTTCCTGCTTCAGTCTTGTATTAACATAAGGTGTTCAGCAAGCTGGGCTCATGCATTCACTGATGGAACTTCTCATCAAACTTGGATGATGTTTTTCCTGCATGTAATAAAAGCGACATGATTCTCATGTCCATTGGGTGTCACAGAAACTCTCATGCACAAGCCTGATCACTTTGATCCTCACAACAATTCTGTGAGCTGGGGAGGCAGGTATTACTGTTCTTTCTCAGAGAAAGAATAACACCGTGGCTTAAACGGTGGGTGTAAGTGACCTTCCTCCAAATCTAACAAGGTGTGAGTGGAACTGGGACTTGGAGCTGGGCTATGTCTGCTAAAGCCACCCTGCTTTTGGCCATGATAAATTATGATTTAAGATAGGTGAGACTAAGAGATTCTTGTTCTTAATTCTGAACTTTCTGCACTAATTTACCTCCTGTATGTCTCAACTTCTTTCCTATTTTTAATAAAATGTGACTTCGTATCCACCCCTCCTCCCATTCCCACCTAGATTAAAATGATCCAAGGTTGGGCTCAGTGGCTCATGTCGATAATCTCGTTTTTTTTGAGAGGGAGTCTCATTCTGTTGCCCAGGCTGGAGTGCGGTGGCACGATCTTGGCTCACTGTAATCTCTGCCTGCCAGGTTTTAGCATTTCTCCTGCCTCAGCCTTCTAAGTAGCTGGACTACAGGCGTGTGCCACCATGCCTGGCTAATATTTTTGGTATTTTTCACAGAGACAGGGTTTTGCCATTTGGCCAGGGTGGTATGGAACTCCTGGCCTCAAGCAATCTGCCCATCTTGGCCTCCCAAAGTGCTGGAATTACAGACATGACACTGTGCCAGCCCTATAGTCTCAATCTTTTGGGAGACCGAAGTGGAAGATTGCTTGAGCCCAGGAGTTCCAGAGCAGCCTGGGCAACATGGAGAGATCCTGTCTCTACAAAAAATTAAAAATTAGCCTGGCATGGTGACAGACGACTGTGGTCTCAGCTACTTGGGAGGCTGAGGTGAGAGGATCACTTGAGCCCAGGAGATTGAGGCTGCAGTGAGCTGTGATTGCACCCTACACTCCAGCCTGGGTGACAGGGTGAGACATTACCTAACTTCCAACTCGTCAACTCTTCTTTTTCTAGTTAAAAACCGACAAACAGGCCGGGCGCAGTGGCTCATGCCAATAATCCTAGCACTTTGGGAGGGCAAGGTGGGTGGATCACCTGAGGTCAGGACAAGTCCAGCCTGGCCACCATGGTGAAACCCCATCTTTAAATGAAAGAAAAAATAATATTTAAAAAAATAAAATAAATTAAAAATAAAATTAAAAACAAACAAACAAAAAAAACTGACAAACAGGCTGGGTGCGGTGGCTCAGGCCTGTAATCCCAGCACTTTGGGAGGCTGAGGCAGGCGGATCATGAGGTCAGGAGTTCGAGACCAGCCTGACCAACATGGTAAAACCCCATCTCTACTAAAAATACAAAAAATTAGCTGGGTGTGGTGGCGGGCGCCTGTAATCCCAGCTACTTGGGAGGCTGAGACAGGAGAATTGCTTGAATCCAGGAGGTGGAGGTTGCAGTGAGCTGAGACTGTGCAGCTGCACTCCACTCCAGCCTGGATGACAGAGACCCTGTCTCAAAAAAAAAAAAGAAAAAAAATTCTAGAAGCTGAAGTACATTCGTGACTTTCTTTTGTAGCTCATTAGCTAGAAATGAATCACGTGCAAGAAAATCTTGGAAGAGTTTTACCTTCCCAAAGATGATCAGTGTTGTCTTTATTAGATGGAAGGAGAGAGTAGATATTGAGTAGATAATGAGCAGTTCCTGCCTCGGTGATCCAGCCACACTATAGTAAGGGAAGGGTATAAAAGAATAACAATTACCCACCTTCCGCAATCATAGCAATAAAAACTACTCATTTACGATTAATTTCCTTCAATCATATTTATGTGTCAAGTTTCTTTGCTATAATTATTATCTATTTACTATTTTGTCCTGCTATTTGTGTATGTTCGTTTATTTATTTATTTATTTTTTGAGACAGAGTCTTGCTCCATGGCCTAGGAGGGAGTTCAGTGGCTCAATCTTGGCTCACTGCACATCCTCCTCTTAGATTCAAGCCATTCTCCTGCCTTGGCCTCCTGAGTAGCTAGGATTACAAGCCGTTTACCACCACACCCGGCTAAGTTTTGTACTTTTAGTAGAGAGGGGCTTTCACCTTGTTGGCCAGAGCTGGTCTCAAACTCCCATCCTCAAATGATCCCCCGGCCTCGGCCTCCCAAAGTGCTGGGATTACAGGCTGAGCCACCATGCCTGGCTAGTATTTACACATTTTTTAAATTGCTACATATTCTTGAGAATGGCTCTCCCATAATTTACTAAATCATTCCCTTTTTATCAACATATAATTTACTTCGATTTTTTTTTTTTTTTTTGAGACAGGGTCTCCCTCTGTTGTCCAGAATAGAGCGAAGTGGTGTGATCATAGCTCACTGAAGCCTCAAACTCTTGGGCTCAAGTAATCTTCCCACCTTAACCTCCCTAATAGCTGAGACTACAGGAATGTACCGCCATGTTCGGCTAATTAAATATATACATATATACAAATTTTTTTTTGTTTGAGAAGGAATCTTGCTCTGTCACCCAGGTTGGAGTGCAGAGGTGCGATCTCAGCTCACTGAAACTTCTGCCTCCAGAGTTCAAGCAATTCTCCAACCTCAGCCTCCTGAGTAGCTGGGATTACAGGTACCCACCACCATGCCCAGCTAATTTTTGTACTTTTGTAGATATAAGGTTTCACCATGTTGGCCAGGCTGGTCTCAAACTCCTGACCTTCAGTGATCTGCCCACCTTGGGTTCCCAAGGCACTGGGATTACAGGCATGAGCTACCACGCCTGGCCTAAAAAACTTTTTGTGCAGAGACAGGGTCTTGCTTTGTCGTTCAGTTTGGTCTTGAACTTGTGGCTTTAAGCTAGCCTCCCGCCTCAGCCTCTGAAAGCAGTGGGATTTCAAGCACGAGCTGCTGCACCTGGCATTCAATTTTATTTTTATTTTTGAGATGGGGTCTTGCTCTATCATCCAGGCTGGAGTGCAGTGACACAATCATGGCTCACTGAAGCCTGAACTTCCTGGGCTTGCGTCATCCTCCCATTTTAGCCTTCTGAGTAGCTGGGACTACATGCATGCACCACCACCCCTGGCTAATTTTTTTTCATTAAAATTTTTTTTTTTTAAATTTTTAATTTTTTAGAAATTAAAAATTGCCCAGGCTGAAGTGTAGTGGCTATTCACAGACACGATCCCACTACTGATCAGCACGGGAATTTTGACCTGCTCCATTTCTAACCTGGGCCAGTTCACCCCTCCTTAGGCAATCTGGTGGTCCCTCACTCCCGGGAGGTCACCACACCGATGCCAAACTTAGTGCGGACACCCAATCGGCACAGTGCACTACAGCCCAGAACTCATGAACTCAAGTGATCCTCCCACCTCAGCCTCCCAAGTAGCTGGGACTATAGGCATGCATCACCACACCTGGCTTTTTAATTTTTTTATAGAGTTAGGGTTTTGCTATGTAGCTCAGGTTGGAGACCAACTCGAACTCCTAGGCTCAAGGAATCCTCCCATTCAGCCTCCCAAAATGCTGGGATTACAGGTGTGAGCCACCTGCCCAGCCAGAATTCAATTTTTAAATAATTTTTTGTAGCGATAGGGTCTCATTTGATTGCCCTGGCTGGTCTTGAACTCCTGGCCTCAAGTGATCCTCCCACCTCAGCCTCCCAAAGGCTCTGGAATTACAGGTATGAGTTCTTCAATTTGTATTGAACCTGTGGTAGGCAGAATAATGGTCCCCCAACGATGTCCAAGCACTAATGTGAAGAACTGGCCAGTGTGCTAAGTACCTGGCAATGAGGAATTAAGGTTGCTAATCAACTGACTTTGAGGTGGGGAGAGAATTTTAAATTATCCAAATGGATAAGGATTCTTCTAAGTAGAAAAGGGAGGCAGAAAAGTGAGAACCAAAGAGATGGTATCATGTGAAGGACTCGGCCAATGTTGCTGACTTTGAAAAATGGAGGAAAAGAGTTATGAACCAACAGTGTGTGCAGCAGCCTCTAGACGTCGGAAAAGTCAGAGGAATAGACTGTCCCCGAGAGCCTCCGGAAGGAAAGCAGCCCTGCTGAAATCTTAATTGTAGCCCAGTGAATCCATTCCAGACTTCTGACCCTCCCGCACACTAAGATAATAAATGTGGGTTGTTTTAAGACACTAAATGCATGGTAATTTGTTACACAAGCAATAGAAAGCCAATTCAGTAACTAACGTTTAAGAAATAAGACTGGGCTGGTAATTAAAAGATTGTAGAGAAAAGTGGTAAGAGGCAGGGAGATCTGTTGGGATTTTTATTTTCTTTCTTTTTTTTTAAACCAGTTTAGGGAAGTGATAATGAAGGCTTGACCCAAGATGGTGGGAATGAGAAAATGGAAAAGATGACAGATCACAAAATATTTATGACCTATAATAGACAGGCTGGTTGGACATTGGCTTAGGGAGAGGATGGAATTAAGAATAAAACAGACAATTCAGGTGAAGAGTAAAAGAGAACCAGGTATTGGAGGAAATAATTATTTGTAGGGCATCTTGAGTTGGAAATTCTCACAGGAAGTCCCAGCGAAAATAGCTAGTAAGTAGTCGACCATACATTTGAAACTGGAGAAAAGTGAAAGCTAAAATAATTTTAAAATGAAAGATATTTTGAAAAGTTATACTCAGTTTAATTGTTAAAGTATTTTTAAGTGATTTCAGTGGGTAAGACATGGTGCTACTAACTGTGAGAAACTCAATTGAATAAAAACATACTCTTTGCCAGAATTGTAGAAACTCACAATGAGCCGGCATCATTATAGCTTTTATCTTGTTATACTATCATTTCTTTATTTTCATGTCTGTTTCTCCAAGTATATTCAGACCTTCTCCAGGCCTGGGGCCCAGAAGCTCTGTCATTATTCTCTCTGTCACTGTGCACAATAACAGGCCTAGTACACAATCATTAGCCAGTAAACAACTGTTGAATGAATGAGCGAGAGAAAGGAAGAGCTGTGAGAGAGTCCAACCAAACACTACAGAAATGCTGACCATGAAAAGGCTCCTGTATTATGCAACACACTGCTATCAAAATAACAGCAATTGAGTTGGCAACAGACTTCTCATCTGCAGCAATAGAAGCCAGGAAACATGGAGTAATATCTTCAAAATGCCAAAGAAAAGTGAGTGTCAATATAAAATTTGAACATCCAGCTGAACTATACATAGCTGCAGAAAAAATGTAGACATACAAAAAATAACAATACTTACCTTGCCCCTGCCCTTGACCCTTAATTTAAATAACTATATAACTTCAACAAGAAGAAAAGTGAACTTGATGGAAAAAAGAAAAATACAGAAGCAACAATGAGAAGGACATTAATAAAATATAATTTGTATAATTATTGCAATAGCATTATTAATAAAGACGTGTTTTATATAAGGTAGAACAAAAGCTCTATCTAATTATATGGAAATTAAGAAGGGGAAGGTAAAATGGAACCTAAACCATGCTAAGGTCTTTGTCTAGTTAACAAATTATTATAATTATTACTTTTGAGATAGTGTCTTTGCAGTGTGGTGATCTTGGCTCACTGCAATCTCTGCCTCCTGGGTTCAAGAAATTTTTGTGCCTCAGCCTTCCAAGTAGCTGGGATTACAGGCGCATGTCACTATGCCTGGCTAATTTTTGTATTTTTCATAGAAAAGGGTTTTTGGCATGTTGGCCAGACTGGTCTCAAACTTCTGACCTCAAGTGATCCACATGCCTCGGTCTCCCAAAGTGCTGGGATTACAGGCATGAGCCATCAGCCCCGCTACAAATTAATTTTAACATCAGTAAAATATATTTCATTTGAATAGATGCAAAAAATTTAAGGAATGGCATTAAATGTATAGAAATATTAGTTGTGTCTTCTAAACTGAAAAAGGAAAGAGAAAAGGTAAACTATTTTCAACACAAAATAAAACAGAAAATAAAATAGAAGAGATACTTCATTCGACTGCTCTTAGCCCCGCTTTGGTACAGAGCTCCCTGGATAAGCAATGCAAGTAAAAATACAAACACAAAATACAAAACACTACACACAAGCGGGAAGGTAAATGTGATGTCGCTGCTGAGACAATCGACTACTGTATACAAAAATAAGTTTCAGACGGATTAACGACATAGATGTCAAAACAAAAACAAAAAAAGTAAGAAAATTAGACTTTCTAAATAAAATTCTTCACCGCCATGCCTTTTAAGAAGCGGTAGCTGCTATGGAAGAGGAATCAGGGCGCTCTGGAGAGCAGGCAAGAGACTGCTTTGGGCTGGGTGGGCAGCCTGCGGACAAAGTAGTGTTTCGGATAAGACGGAGCTGGCCGGGATTAGAGGTGGGGAAAGTGTCAGGGTGCAGGTCAGAGCTCAGGCTCTAGGGCAGAACTGGGCTCCTGACTCTGGAGAAAGGGAAAGGAGGCCCCTGAGGCAGAGCAGGGAAATCAAACCAGTGACTCAAGAGACGTAAGAGAGGAGATTGGCAAGGTGAGCAGCGCTGGGTGATGCAGAGTCTTGCAAAGTTTGAGAAAACACCAGCTACTTTGTTTATTGTCCGACTGCCTCAGTGCACTGCGGTGTGTCCGGGTGTGCTGAGGTCCTGCCCTTTGTTCTTTCTCTTTAGCCTCTGTGTCTCCTTTTCCGTCAGCTCAAGGCTCAGACCAATGCTTTACCAACACAGCCACAGGCAAACCTAGCAACGGGACTGTCCTGGACAAACTGGAAACACAAGTTCTAGAGCATCTGAAACACTCATGGCGAGGCCACTCGTCATGTCACCAACTCCAGAGAGCAAAGAGCTCTCTGCCTATTTCTCCCTTCCTCTCAGATGACACCTTTGAAATAAGACCTTACTCTTAAAACTTCATGAGCTTATCAATATATCCAAGCCACCCCAACCCCTAAAAAATAAAACTCTGGGACAAAAACCTCTTTTGCCATTGTGTATTTCTGTTTCTCCACTCTTCTAGGTCCAGGTTCTTTCCTGCATCATTCAGGGTTCCAGCAGAACACAGATGGTGTGTTCATCTGAAGATGGATCCCAAATGCCGAGAGCCAAGAAAAATATGCAAAAGAAGGTGGTGAGGGGGTCTTACCTGAGAGGAAACTGGAGGTGATGGTAAGCAAATCAAATTGGGAGTAGGCTAGGAATAGACTCACCATCGCCATCAAAGAAAGCAAGAAAGAAACGAAAAAAGAAAAAAAAAAACAGTGGAAGTGAATAGAGAAAATAGAGAATCTAGAAATGAATCACAGTAATCACAGTGCAT